GTTATTCCTTGTTATGCCAGGGGGTGCTAGGGGAAACAAGGTCTCCCCCAAACCCTTCTGGTCCCCCCTAGTGAGTTTATAGACGGTCACCAGGTCCCCCCTCAGCCTTCTCTTGTGAAGGCTGAACAGGTTCAGGTCCCGCAGTCTCTCATTGTAGGGTCTGCCTTGTTGTCCCTGGATCATGTGGGTGGCCCTCCTCTGGACCCTCTCAAGAGAGGTTTGAACAGCCCTCTTGCTCCTCTGAACATGCAAAGAAGGTGAGGCAACTGTCCTCAAACAGGATACTTAGGGAAGTCAGCTTGATGTGCAGGGTAAATGCAGATTGTTACAGGATGGTATCTATTTGGAAGGGTAGTAATAGACATTCGTTTTGATCATAGAAGCAAAATAAAAGCAATAAATATGCTGAAGTATTTTCCCAGGTCAAGTTCAACACAGCTCTCTCTTCAAGAATGACAAAAAAAGGTGTTGTTTTGTTTACAAATGAGTCAGTTATCCAGCTGGAAAAAACAGGTTCACTTATGTGAACCCTGTCTAGTTAACAGCAATGATGATTAGTTGACCCATGCTGCTGTGCCTGAATGTAAGGAACTGGTCCTTTTGTATTTCTCCTGATGTTAAACTTGCCATTTTCATCAACTCTTTCAGCATTAGTGTCGGTACTGCCTTACTTGGGATTCATATTGTTTGTGATTCCAAAGATCAGTGGGCAAAAGTGGGGAGAATATACACTGTGTTTGTATACGACATCATGTCTTTTGATGTAAAAGTAATAAGGAAAGTATTTTCTTTCTGCTTACTGCCTGCAATTTGGAGGCAGTAAGGGATATGCTGGCAAACTAGTAGATTATTGTTTGCGCCACACAGTTCTATTATTAAAAGCAGGTGTATAACAATGAATGATGCAAATAAAACTTTGCATTGGTTTTTGGAAAGATAGATACACTCTTGAAAAGGAAATTGACAAAATGTCAGTAGTTGAACTTCTGTTGTACAAAGATAGGGGTTCTTGTGATAAATATAGATGACTAGGAAACCATATTTTTAGAATACAGCAGGTGTTCTAGCTGATTGACAAGAAATGGAACATAATTGTATACATCTTTAATTCTATCTTGGTGAGTTCAAAGTTGGGAATTTTTATTTATTTTCATCTCTGCTGCTTGGTAGCTGTACTAGTATGTAACTTTCAGAATCTGAGAGAATAATCTTTGAAGTATTATAATATTGTTTAGCCTGAGAAATGTCTGGATTGCTGTGACTTTCTCCACTCATCACAAAGTGGTGCACAGAAAGAGGGGTGTGTGTGTATTTTAACACAACTCTAGCAGTTATTCTTAAAAACACAGTGCCAAGCTTTCTCTTTCACTGAGGTGCACACTGGAGTGGTGGAATACTAAATTGGAAGGGAAGAGCTGGAGAAGCAGAAGCTCCATGGTATATTTGTGTTTTACTGAAAGACCACAGAAATTTCTGTCAAGCTGGTATTTCCTAACTTTCAAGGGCTTGGCAGAAAGCAGGCAGGACAGCATGTTAGGGCACCTATACATGTGCCCAATGTCTGCTTTGACGTGTGCTAATTAGATTAATCAAATCTGATTAGCATTAAGCATGCTAATTAGTATGCCCCAGCAGCCTCAGTGTATCATGTATTCAGCATCTTCGCGCTTCAAAATGGCAGCAAGGGTGCTATAACTAAAGCTCGTCAAATGAACTTTAGTTAAAGTGCCCCCACCACCATTCTGAAGTGTGGGATGCTAAATACACAAGACACTGCCAGTACTTCAATTAGAGTGGCTCTCTGGAGCCACTCTAATTAAAGCTCCCCACCCCAGAGCATGTGTAGCCTTTAGAGACTAACTGGTGCAAAGAGGCATAAGCTTTCATAAATGACAGCCTACTTTGTCAGATATGATGAAAGGATTCAGAGTGCTTTGCAGTATAAATAATGCTCTGTAACATAGTATTTTTTGTATGTAATACCACTAGAAAGCCTCAAACAGGATGTCAGAATACAGTTTTGGATAATTGATTGCCAGCTGTACTTGAACAACACAGTGATGATAAATCTTGAATCAACCTTGACAGTATGAATCTGTTTATTCCACACAAATTGTAAGGAGAGATGGTCAAAAGGAAAGGATAGCTTGGCAAAGTAGCTTGTGTATGTTGTGTATAAAATACATAGAATTCCCCTGGACCACTCAGACATTAGCAGAGCAACTAGATTAACTCTCAGTGGAAGGAGAAAACCGTATGTAATGCAGCTAAGTACAAGGGTGATCAGGACAACAGTCCAGGCACCCATTTGGGGGATGAAGTGTGTTGGGGGGCAGGGGTAAAGAAATAGCAACCCCTGCAGCTGTGGGCCAACCATCACTGCTGCAACTGGCAGCTGCACAGATGCTACTGCCAGAGGCACAGGGCTGCCCTGTTACACCTCTGAATGGCTTGTAGATTCTGGCAGTAGTCATGTGTGGGGGAGAGAGCCAAGATGAAAATAAAAATATCAAGGCAACAGGACAACATGTTTGCTTCTTTGTGGAGCAAAAGGAAAATATTTGCTTCTTGAGTTTACTGTGTGAAATGAGTAGCACAGCTCCAGTTGTCACTCAGACATAAAGATGAGACAGATTCAGTATTCATGTTAGCTGGTGTGTTAATGAACATTCATCAAGGAATTCTCTATTACCAGTATTTTCTAGAATTTATGCCGTAAGATTGATCCAGTGATAGTAAGTTGCTGTACAAGGAAAATAAGAACAAAGCAGCATGCAGGTTGACATTTTGACAACCCACTATTATGTGTTGATATTTTCAAGCAAGATTAAACCGAGACATTTCTTCCCACCTTTATGTGTTCATTGATTCAGGCTGTTTCTAGCAGGCTCAAATCTATAGTCTTCTTGTTTAAAGTAAAGAAGTCTGCCCAGTTTCTTAAGTAATGGAAATATTTCTGCTTTCTTCTCTTTTGTTTTTCAGTGCTGTCAGCTGCCCATATTCTGAAATTAACTTAAACAAAGAAACTATCTTACCAGATCGTTTAAGTGGAGAGATTCCTCTGGCCAGTCCTATGCCCAGGAACAAAAAGACAGACGTAAACGAAAGATCAGTCTCTCCTGTAATCAAGTAATTATGATTAAAACATTATTAGCAACTAACAATAATATCATCATTTTATTTCAGTTCTCTTCTACATAATTCACAGTACCTGAAGGCAGTATGGTTACAAAAGGCCTATATGTTTCTCTGTATTTGCATTTCTAGGGAATCAGGATATCAGAGCTGATACAGTAGATTGTTGAACTAACAAAGAGCAATGCATATTTCATTATCTGTGATTTTTAGCAAGAGTGCATTTTTACTGTTGGTAAGCATGCAAATCATTAAGATGTTAATTGTAATTTCAGATTGGGTTTTTAATGATTGATTCTGATTGCAAAAGTAGTTCATTTGCATTTTTATTGTTTGCCAGAACAGCCTCATTGCCACATGTACGCATGAATGTTGCTGTTTGAAAAAGAGCCATAATACATTTTGCTTTTATTGGGAGGGTGAGGAATTAAGTTTTGCAAGACCAGTTAAGAGACCTGCTAGGAGAAAGTCAATGGATATTACAGCAAGAAGTTCCTCAGAGGTTTGTTCTTATATCACAAGCTTTAGATTTTGCATCATTTTAAAATAAATGTAACCTTTTCTGAGGACCACTTCTGGGTGAAACATGATAATGTGTTGCATTCAAGAATTTCACCCAGGTTTGAATTGCTTGTGAATTTCTGTTGAATTGGATCTGTGCCTAGGGACTCCTCAGGAAGAAATGTTCTTTGATCTCTCTCTTCCCAAGAACCCACATCCCTGGCAGACGTGCAGAAGGGGCAAGCCTCTGGCTGTGCCACCCTACCTTTTCTGTCTTGGGAATTACCCAGTGATCCATAGAACCCCCACTTCAGAGAGCTCCCTTTTTTGGTCATCTCTCAGGGAGGTGGAGTTCAAAGAGGCAGGAAGAAAGTCAGAATGCTAACATCCCATATAACACAGCAGACAACTCTTCTCTGAACAATCTTTATTGTACCACTGCAGTTGCCTCTGTCCTTCCTCAAACTCCAATCTGTCCTCCTTGGGATTGCTTTCTCTCTACTCTGTCCTCCTTGGGACTACTTTCTCATCCAGGCCACTCTGGGACTACACTTTCTCTTAGGCGCAGTCCCACCCTGTCAACAAAACAATTACAAAAGTATAGTATTAACCCAGGAATTAACATTTAGTCAATCAAATTAAACATGTCATCGGGAATCAGGGAGCAGAGCCTGCTGCCAGGCCCAGACTTTCCCTAGAGTGAAAAGAGTATCTAGGTGTCCTACTCACAGAGCTGTTTACAGCAGCTATTTATATCAACACATACACTGCCCGTTCCCCTCACCCTTCTAAAAAAAAATGTTCCCCACCAGAGCTGTAGGCTAGAACTCAGCCTACTTATGTCTTTTTCATCACAGTGATCCTCTTCCACCTTGCTTGAATCCTTGAAAAACCATAAATGTGTCTGCTTTTGCAACACATATCATCTTAGCCTTAATCACTTAGATTTTAGTTTTTATTAATGATATTAAAGTGCAGTTTTCAGGAGTACTGAGTGTTGGGCAAACTCCTTTCCACTTGAACTCTTCCATGAGAGTTTTACCTTGGATTGTGTTGGGTTCATTCAGTGCTGTGTACTTTTACAGTTCCACCTGTAAAATTCTATGAGGAACAACTAAGAAAATTTTACTTTTGATGGTTTCTGGTTGTTTGGGGTTTTTTTTTAAATAGCCTTGTAATTTCGAGCTGGAAGTCTCCTGTGAAGCAAGTAAGCTCAGGAACATAGCTCAGATTTTAAAACGATGTCAATTTGTTTTACAGTGACAGAAAATGTCCTAGCCCTGGACACACAGGCTCAAAATCTTCTGCTCATAATCGATTGTCTGGGAAATCTGTGTTGGAGACAACAAAGGAAGAAGATACAGAAAGTAAATCTCCTTGCAAGAAGCCTCCATTATGTGATGCGAAAGAAAAGAAACAGTCTAGGTAACTGTCAATCAGCTTCTTTTGAAATATGAATTGTTGGGACTGTAGATATGAATTGCAGCCTGTCTCAGTACAGTACAGTAATTTATTAGTGGAATTCTTACAGGCATGTGGGAAGGCACAAGAACGCCATGCAGTTGTCTCTGAATTCAAGTCTGGAATGAATAATGTCATAGTGTATTTAGCAAGTATATAATTCAAATCAGAGTGAATAAATGAGACAGTATATATTCTAAAATAGAAAAAAATATTGAATATTTTAGAGTGAGGAATTTCCCTGTCCTCTGTTTACAAATAAATCAGAGAGAGAGATTAAAATGAAAAGTGTCTGTTTTAATCCCCCAAAAATACAGTCTTATGGAATTAAATGGATAAGATATGGATAAGCTGATTGTAAAACCATTGTGAAAGTTCAGCAAATGCTTTGACTGATGTCATGAAGAGATTATTTTTGTTTGGGTACATGCCTTAGAATTAAAAGAGAGAAATTTGAATGGTTACAGTGGGCTCTATGGGGATACAGGAGTCTGTCCATTCATTGTGAGCACAATACCTTACAGTGGTGGCTGTTTTATTTTTGTTGTTAAGTAAAAACCCACTAGAATTAGAAAATATGCTTAATCCTCTGCACTGGGACTATCCAGATTCTCAGGAGCTGGAGGCTGCATGCAACACCAGACAGAGATCCAGGGACTGTGCACACCAGGAGCTGCTCCCCCTGCCCTCTGCAAGACCTCATGCACCACACACAGCCCAACTCTCCCTGCCCTGGGCCATGTACAGCCCAGCTTCCCCCCTGCTGTCCCCTGCACAACCCAGGTCCCCCTCTTAGCCCCATATGCCACATGGGCAGCCCAGCTCCCCTGAGCCACACTGCAGCACCTTCCCTGCTGGGCACGTTGTGTGGGCAGCCCGCCTGTAGCATAGGGACCCTGGCTCCCTCTTTTTCCAGACATGCAATACACACAGCCCCAGTACCCTCTTGCATGCAATATGAGCAGCCTGGCCCCTTCCTGCAGTGCCACCCCTCCCCACCGCCCTGGAGTGGGAACAGGAATCAGAAGCTGGAGGAGGGAGAGGGAGGCCCCAGCTGCCACCACAAGAGCAGTAGGTGGAGTTTAGTCTGGGCAAGAGCTCAGAGACCACAAACTGATCCCATTAGGGCCACCAGTTGGACAGCCCCACTCTGCACCATCCAACATCATCTAAAACATAGCATACTCATAACATCCAAACTGCCAGTGGCGATAATGGCAAATGATTCGAGATACCACTCTTCATTTACGAGAGTTAATCATATACAGTAGATATCTCACAGTAAAGTTTCAATTATGGAAACTTACTGTTTAATTAAGAAGCAATTAAATCCCCTGATCTCTTTTTAATTACAGTGCCTTCTCTACTTCTCCATGTTGATGTTTACCAGCCAACCCCCACCCCCCAAACAGCAAAAACAGAACTGTAGATGTAATTGAAAATCAGTTGTTTTCCCTTTCATTTACATGAAAAGATGTATTATTTTTATAAGCAGATGACATGTATGTCAAGGAAATGGTGAAATCTTAATTTTTGGCTCTTATTTGTTCAATATTACACAATAATTTCACTAGCTTCTCTTACTAGCATCTCTGAAACTTTTTGGCCGACGTTGTAAATTTAATTCTCCTGTCCTAATTTCACCTAAGAAACTGGTGCAGAAGAACTGTGGGATTGAAATAGTTCAGAGATTTGTATATGTTTAAAGCTAAAACAGACTGTTAGATCATCTAGTCAGCCTGTTTGAAAATCACAGGTATTAAATCTCATGGTACTGAGGCTGGCAACTTGTGCTCATCTAAAGCATATTAGACAGACATCCAGTCTGGATCTGGAGATCGAGAGGTCTGGAAAATCACTTTCACTGTTAGAATAGCATGCACCTAACTTCAAATGTGAATATCACATGCAGCCACTGGTTCTTGTCATGCTTTTCTCCATTAGAATGCAGAGCATTCTACAGGATTATTGAATATCTTCTCACCATGAAGGTACTTAACCATAGTAATTATGTCATCTCTCAATCTTATTTTCCAGTTGCTAAATAGATTAAGCTTGTTAAGGGCTTATCTACCTTACAAACCTTCTGCCCACAGGAGTTCTGATGCCAGCATGTGTCCCTACCCATGCGGCCTCTGATGATTTCACACAGCTTCACTACAGCAGCTCTGTCAACTGTAGTGAGGCACCAGCTGTTTAAGGGACTACGTCTACCATCAGAAAGCCCACCAAGGCATGTCGGCACATGTTTTGTAGTGTTTTTCATGTGGTGGTGAAGCTTTCTGTCACAGAGTTCGTGTTATCTTGCTGCAGGATGACGGGATTATGCTATTGCAGGCGACCTCAAATGTATGGACACACAGTAGAACCTGTTCTGGAAGCAATGCTACGTAGCATAGATCAGACCTAAGCCACTGTAAAACTTTTTGTCAGCTACCAAGTCGTTTTTTAGCTGGTTCCTTGATTCCCTTCAATTTTTCATCACCATTTTTAAAATATGGACATCAGAATTATACTTATTCCTGGAGTAGTCTCAGCAATACCATAACAGAGTTAAAAGAATTTTCCTGTTATTATGCATTGCTCCCCAGTTTATACATCCAAAACCTGCATTAAGCCACTGGGCCACACATCACAATGGGAGCTGCATTTGTTGTTTCTCTGCTATCACTTCTTCCCAGGTTACAGTTGCTATCCTATTACAGGATAATAGTATCCTTCCCAGGATACTGTTCCACACATGTAACTGGCATTCCTTTTCCTCAGTGTAGACATTTTGCATTTCATTGTATAAAACCATGTTGGGCACGTCCATAGTTTCATAGTTAGTAGGGTCGGAAGGCACCTGATCAGATCATCAAGTCCGACCCCCTGCCATGGCAGGAAAAGAGTACTGGGGTCAAACAACACCAGCAAGGTGTTCATCGAGCCTCCTCTTAAAGACCCCCAGGGTAAGGGCCAGCACCACTTCTCTTGGAAGTTGGTTCCAGATCCTAGCCGCCCTGACAGTGAAGTAGCACCTCCTGATATTTAGCCTAAATCTACCCTCTGCCAGCTTGTGACCATTATTTCTAGTCACTCCTGGGAGTGCTCGTGGGAACAGGGACTCCTTCAGTGCCTGCTGATCCCCTCTGACTGGTTTGTAACAGGCCACTAGATCCCCCCTCAGCCTTCTCTTGTGGAGGCTGAACAGGTTCAGGTCCCATAGCCTGTCCTTGTAGGCCTGCCCTGCTGCCCCCTGATCATGCGAATGGCCCTCCTCTGGACCCTCTCCATTTTGTCCACATCCCTCCTGAAGTGCAGCACCCAGAACTGGACACAGTACTCCAACCGTGGCATGAC